GCTTCAAATACAACTTCTGGAATAAACTTCCAGTCCTGACAGTGCAGGAGACCCCATTTTGTAGATCTGCAATGAAAGGTCCAGACAGTGCATTTGTGGGCCTAACAGTCCAGGTCTGGTACCAGACTCTCTAGAACCACTTTGGAGTTCCTGGGAAAACAATTTTACACGTGCGATTTCCCCGACAGGTTTTAATCCTAATCAGCAACTACTTAACTCTCTGCCTGAACCCATATTTAGCACAATATTAATAATTCTATTAATTTATCCATAAGTATGAAATATAATAGTCAGTGATAAGTGCAATGCTGCCTGGATGTCCTTGTTCATACCATCGGTTCACATCAGACTCTCAAAGTGTCATTTATAATACTTGCTTTTATTTGTCACCTCTGTACTGTGGCTACCAAACATATTTATCTGACTCTTCACCTTACTCACCAATACATCTATTTCTGCCTCGGTTAAACTGCTTTTTCGCTCTCTCTGCTGTGGCTGCCATTGGTAACCATATAAAACAATGATCAGATGGCTCATTTAAATACACAAGGAATATTTATGCTGTGCCTTTGACAGGACCATTTACAACTGAATGTGGGTGTGAAAAGGCCTCAAAAAGAGGTGAAGTCAAGTGCGCAAACTCTGAGCTACATCTGTGATTTATGAAGGAAAATAGCCTAGATTTCACATCATTTTTTTTTTTTGCATGCAGGCCATTTTTGTATTTTTGGCAAATGTAGACTTTTAGTTCTAAGCAATGTTTTATAAATGAGACCCCGTCGCTGGATATAATCCACAAGTTTTCTAAAAATTACTTTTTAACAACTGACATTGAGTGACTTTGACTGCACTGTATTGTGACTAGGGGTGTGAGAAAAAATCGTTTTGGCGATGTATCGTGATTTTTGGCTGCCCGATATAATATCGACCTTTCAGTTCCTAGGAATGATTTTTTTAAAACAAATAATATTTTATCTAAAACAATGAGGGAAATTGGGCCACCTGTACACCGCTACACTGGCAGATAGTGCTGCAGAGCTATTTTGCTGTGTGGCACAACGCCGTTTCTGTAGTTGAGGCAGTCACAGCGGAAGATGGGACTAACTCAAATGCCAAACATCATGGATACCAAAAAAACTAAATTATCAATATCTTCTGATGAACATATACAGCACCTGCTTTTTTATCTCTAGATTTAATTTGACAGCAGGGAAAAATATCGCAATATATAGTGATATATTATTATCGTGATTATATTGTATCGCGACCCAAGTATTGTGACATGTATCGTATCGCAACACCCATGCCAATACTCACCCCTAATTGTGACTATGTTTGGTGATAGTGTGAATAAATTTGATAAATATACCCAAGAGCCTCGTAAAAAAGAAGAAAAAAGTATTGATCATACTGGAACTGGTCAATAAGTCCTTAACAAATTAGATCAATGACAGCAGTTGATGTTTGTCAAAAATCAAGTGTGAAAAAGCGCAGAAAAAGGTAAATATGTAAAAAGGGATAAAACAAGAGTAAAGCTCAAAATAAAATATAAACGTTGTATTCTAGTAAAGCAGAATCTAAAGCTGTGGACGCTGGTAAGTTGGTGAGTGAGTAAGTACTGACAGCAGAAAGCGAAGGCATACAACAACGTTTACGTCTCTGATTGGACCCAGTGCAGCAACTCTTTTCACTCTCAAATAGGACTAAGTAAACACTTCCAGTAAGTATGTTTGACTCATACTGGGGTTTTTTTCAACATGAACTTATGGGTTTTACAGCTTTTTTATAAGCACTGTATTTGACAAGTTCCTTTTAACAAATTTATATTAGTGAATGGATTTAATTAGATCCATTCACAAAGTCCCACAGCAGTATATCAAATTCTACGTGTTTATAATATTTTTTGAATGTATATGCTAGCAGTTAAATCCGTAACTAAAAAGTATCATACCTGAGAAGGCATCATTGTAATCAGAGTATACATGTATTAGACAAAAAATGTTTTTAAAAAAAGATGTGATTTGTTCAAGTTATTAGTTACTGGACCCGATGTCACATTCTGGAAGGCACACTCCTTCTGAAGCACTGGGGTTAAACACCCCTCACAGCTTGATCGTTGGAATACAATGGGAGCTCTCAGCAGACTCCCAACATATGGAATAAATAATGGACCTCATTACAAACATCCAGCGTTTGCCTGGAGTCTCACACACGGTCCACAATGCTTTTTTCCAAGCCTGAACTACCGGACCCAACAGGTTAGGACAGCAAAACTTCACAAATGGTAATTTTAAACTTTTTACAAGCAAACAAAATATTTAATGTAAATAAGAAGAAACTATACGAGGTTGCCTAATTTTAATGATTTATGGCAAATAAAATGTTTGACTATTTAACTAAAAGAACAAAAAGCCTCCATGCATTAACTAAAAGAAAAAAGCCTGCAATTATTCTCCAATGTTTACAGATACATTAGGGACTTGCTGTTTGAGGCACAAGGCCACCAGCCATGCCTCTGAAACATTCATTTAGAACTTCCTCTTCAATCCCACGGCCCTTAATATTCCACAATAAAACAAGCACAAGGTCAGCCCTTGGCCTGTGCCAACGTATGACGCAGTATCTGACTACTGCCATGAGAACGAATAAAACATAAAGCAAAGGACATCTGTTTGCAGAGCAGACAGAAACTAAGAAATAAGCTGCTGCTAATGGTATCTAATTTTATCAAACTTTTGTTGGCACTGCCTCAAAGTTCAGCTCATTCATTGACAGTTGCAACTTTCTTAAGGATAATTTTTCAAAAGTAACATGAATAAATTATTTTTTATCAAAGAAGTAAGTTTTACTGATTCAAAGTGTGGTGGTGGGTAATGTTAACTCATCTAATTAATAAAAAAAACCACATTAGTGTGTTTTTCCCCTTTTATAATTCACAGTTCATAGCACCTCTACTAAAAGTAATTTATTTTGATTATTTAGTTTATGTGATGAATAGTGGAGGTTTGGGCAGTTCAACATAAATGGAACATGTTTGGATCTTGAGCATCTCTCGATTTAACAAATTTTACTTTTTAAGTAAGCGACTTGGCCTCATTTAACAAGATGATTATCTAACTAAAAGGATATTCTCATGTTAAATGACTGAAAAGCAACAAAGTTTTTCAGTGACAACATTCTGTTATTGGTTTGAGGTTTGTGTCAACTAACAGGATTCAAAGCTAGTTAGGATGCAAACACAGCCCTAACAGCTCATTTACAAAGGTGTGACATGGAAACTTGAGACTGGCACTGCATACGACACTGGGATTTATCACGAATAGGAAACATTAAATCTTGGCTTTATGTTTTGTAAGTACTCAACATTAGCAGACTGACATTAGCAGACTTTGATTAAGAGGGACTACAGCAAACAACAATAACATGCAACACTCCTGGTTTCATCTACCAACTTTAATGAAGTATTTTATTTTGATTTTCTGTGATACACTAGTAGGAAATAATGCATAATGTTGCTTTTCAAAAAAAACTGCCCCAAATTTGTACTTGAAGTTGTAGGTAAACAGCTGTTCCAAACGTTGCATTTCCGAATTCTCGCGAGTGGTGCCCTACTTTACATGAATGAATAAATTTAATGTGATTGATAGATTATCAAGGGGGCGGGATTGTTGTGGTGGAAGGTTCACAAGCTTTTTGGTTGTGGCCGGTTTGTCGAAAGCATCTTGCTAACCAGTTAGCAGCTTAGAGCTAGTAGGTTCCCAGTAGGAAATGCCGTTGGGACCAAGTAGTACTTAGCAACGACACTTAGTGTGGATGAGTCTCCTTCGTCATACATTTTTTATAGGAACGTGGGGACGAAGTTGTGGAAGAGGACGCCAGGGTGGCAGAAGCTTGGTTTTGTGTAGATAGCTTACAGTCGTACATGTTTGAGCCCTTGCCTTGTAATGCTGCCAGTTCTGTAAGATCTACGCCTGCCGAAGACAGAGGCGTCCATCCCTGTGAACACTGGGGCGTAACTTAATGGCAAAATAAATAATTCTTATTTCTTATTTGAACTGTAGCGTATATTAGCTGCAAAATATGAATCAAGATGCTATGATGAAAAAAAATGTAAAAATGTTAACCTGACGTATAATTAACTGGCCTGCATAAGATAACGAAAAAAATAAACTGATTTTAAGACAGCATTTTTTTTTTTTTTAATAGAAATTTTCTTACTTTTGGGACAATATGTTCTGGTAAAGACTACATTTATATACATGGTTAAGCCAGAAGGATTTTACATTTAAATATGACTTCCCTACAACTTTAACTGGGAACTCTTTAGAGAAACAGCAAAATCAATAACTGTTAGAACTAATTTAATCAGCAAAGATAGTCTATGTATAATTTAAATCTAAGTTAAAATACAGCAGCTGTATGAAGGTTAAAACAAGAACCAGGTAGCATCCTGCCATGGGCATGGTTCCTATAGCCTAAAGAGATGCTTCAATAGCCAATATTGAAAAGTTACAAAACATCAAAACCTATTTTAGAATCTATGATACGACCTGGAAACTGATGCTCATGCATGCTCTCAGCAAAGAGAAAAAGCCAATAATTTCAGTGTACAGATGTGCAAAGAAGACCAATCCCAGATGCATGCCGCACTTTTCAGATTTGTATACCTATGGCATTTGGGGAAACATGTATCATATTTCTGCTTTGGTTTAGTTTCCATATTTATAAGTTTGGGTTTATGACAACAGCAGGATTGAGACTTCTGCGACAGGATTCACATATGCTCTTCAACCCACATATTTATTGCATAAGAAAAATGACAAAGAGATGGACTTCTGCTTCATAACATATAGTGCAGACATGCCACAAAGGTCAAACGAGACCATCAAAAAGGAAGTAGTTCACATGCAAACTTAAGCCCCAATATACTCCACCCACTATTACAAAAAATAAATAAATAAATAAATAAAAATACACCCACCTCTTTCCCCTTTACTCACCTGACAACATTGGGGTGCTCAAAGGCCTCCAGTTGCCTCAGTACCGCCACCTCCCGGATAGTTGAGAGAGGCATCCCTTCTTCCTCTGTCTGGACACGAACTCTTTTTAGGGCTACAAAGCGTCCCCCGTTCTTCAAATCCCTTGCCTTGTACACTTTCCCATACGCACCCTCTCCAATCTCAGCCACAGGCTCGTATTGAGTACCAATACTTTCTTTGTCCATTTTTGCAGATTTTTTTTTTTTTCCCTTGTCTCTTGTTGAAAATGTTGCGGGGAATCCCGGCGAGGGTGACGAGCTTCTTCACAAAGGCATACTCACAGAATATAGTTGGCACATGCAATGCCTAGACGACAGAGACACACAGATGGAGGAAGAAACCATCTCTGTCACATTTGATGAAATCAAGCTCCAGGTGCGCTTTAACAGGACTGTCATCATGTTTTTATTCGGACTATCATAAAAAAGGCGACCCTCTGCTGCGTTTCCCAGCTTCCACTCCTCCTCCTCCTGTTACGCATTACAACTCATGTCCTCCTACTAACAGAAAATAATATAAAATAAAGAAAAAAGTCTAAATCACCCCCATTTAACTCCAACATTAGGATCATTTGCGTTAAATCGACTGTCTCGCGCGCTTATCAATTAACAGAAGTTGCAGAAGTTGAGTTCACATGAGCGGACTTTAAAAAAACAGCTTAAAATATAAGAAACAAGGAAAAAGAGAATAAATGCAACACATATAACTTTTCCAGGTTTAGAAACGGATAACATTGTAACTAGCCGCCTGTTGAAGTTTCTGTTTGAGCAGTGCCCAAAACTGTGAGCACGTGCTGCATTGTTTTAACTTCCCACAGCAACAGTCCATTTAAAACACATTAAAAAAATCTTTTTCATCCCCAAACCACTCTAAATGCATGCCTCAGTGTCTATGCTTAGTTTTAATCACGTTTCTATACGTTTCCCTTGCTTCCTCGAATTTTTTCTAATTTATTTCTGCGCGCACCTTAATATAGCAACCCTGATTAAAAAATGGCCTATAATACAGATTTATAAACATGCATTTATTGATTTGCTCATTGTGCGGTAAAGTATTTATTTTTTTAGCGTGAGAGAGATATAATATGTGTAAATTCTGCAGAAATATCCGGAATGATTATTTTATTTATTTATTTATTTTACCTTATTTATGGTTGTCAGTAAAATGTCGTGACGTCGGAATGCCCAATAAAATGCTGAGAAGGCATTCGAGTCTCGCATAAAACTGCTCCATCAACCGCATCCTTGTCCATGCGGGGGCCACACACAGGTAGTTGACGTCGCAGGCTCTAACCCCCCATCCCCTAAACTGCACCAGCCCCAGCAGAGGACTGTGAAACAAGCGAGGGGAGGGCTGGACGAGAAACTTGCGCATACTCTCTTTGCAGCTTGAGTGGAAGGAGGTGTGGAGGGAAGGGGTGTGTTAAGTTGCTTGGTGAGTGTACACTGCACCCACGGAGGGGGGGTCATAGGACAAAGGCAAACGCGTGATATAGCCCCTCCAAACCACGCTCATCTCTAGGATTTTCTCCTTTTCTTTCCTCGCGCACATATCTGCGGCCCCTTTGCAACTTTGGCCCCGCGCGCCCGCGTGAGCTCCGTCTTTGGCAGGCTTTCCCACGCCGGCTGAATGTGCCCTGACCCCCTTCAGAGAGGTTTGACACGGAGCGGGACATTTCCGCATTCCTCCATGACTACAAAGGCACACCGCCTCCTTTTTTTTTTGCTCTCCCTCGGCCTCTTCGGTGCTTTCACAGTGGCCCCCCTGCTAGGTTTTGGCCCCCCCGTGTCAAAACCGGGAGCACCCCAGGGAGCGGGGGGAGCTGTATTGGATGGACCAGCCACACTATCTGCCTCAAAGCACTGATGATCTCTATTGTTATTATACTAATAATAATTATTATTATTATTAATGAAGGCAATAATGCGCCAACAGCAATGCAGTGTGACAAGGTCGCCTTAAGATGGTCCTTTGGGGTCAGGTTCAAGGCCCCCAACAATAGGGGGGGCAATAGATCTTCTCTGGTGGTCGTGGTGCATGAGTACCCTGATAAAATCACATTTAAAATATAATATTTATGAGTCAATTTTTACCTATATATTCTTTAGTAAATTAGATAATTTCCAGTCCATATAAAATATGTAAACACAGAATTATTTCTTATCAACAATTTTTATTTTTATTTGTCAATCAAGCTTTTACTTATTGTTAAGAATATTTTTTTAAATTCTAATAATTATTAGTTCAATTATTGTTACCTAATGAATTAGGTTTAAAATATTTGCCTACAATGTATATCTATGCTAATTTTTCTAATTATGTTGTAATATGTAATTGTATGATTGTATGATTCAGGCATAGGGATTTTTTATAGCAATCAGTACAAATGAAGTCAATTTTAAATAAATGGTTTCATCACTAAACATATAAAATAATATCTATATATTGGTTAAAAATCAACCTATACACCTGCAGTAGGATATTTTAAAAGCACAAACTGTATGGTAATTTTCTTTTAGAGGGAAATCTAACAAAAAAGGATCAGAAACCTCAAACAAAAATCTTTTATATTCGAAGTCTAAAACTTGGATTAACTTTATCTTGTAATAATCTTGTTAATTCACCCAAAGGACAACGATTACTGAATATTTTTATTTTCATTATTATATAACTGCCACAGTGATTATTTTGTCTGAAAACCTAAAGGCATATTTCCACATAGTTTAATTTTAAAATTTAAATGAAAAACAAGCTTTATGATAGAAACTTGTACAAAATCATTAATCATCTGTGAGTTTATTAGTGAAATATATTGTCTTGAAAACATAATCAAACAAATAAACATTTTATATAATGAAACAATTTAAATTATCTAAATATTAAGCTTTTCCGTTTTTGAAAACATAAGGAAGATAATGACATGGAAGTTTATGTGGCAAACTCTCGTGCTCAAAGTAAAAAACACCAAAAGGATGCAACAGTGAATAAAATGCAGTTCTTGGGGGATGGACCTGACAGATTCCATCATTACCAAACCAGCAGCAAACAGGCATACTATAGACATAATTTATTATTATTGAATACATAATTATTACACATATTTAGAAATATCACAGTTCAGAATTATCTGCCTTAATGTAATTTAAAAGACAAGGACAAACAAATGTTCATGGGTAGAAAATTAGCATTTGAATACCATTAATAATAACAGGTTTATAAATTTAAGCATTCAGGAAAGTTTCTGCCATGAAATTCCTCATTGTAATATACTTAGATGTAGCAAAAAAGAAAAAAATATATATTTATATTTTTGAACTATAATTTTTTTGTATATGTTTGAAATCTATAACATCAAATGAGCAAAGAAATTGTAGTAAAGAAATTTTGTATTTAGTATATTTTAATTAAAAATGTATATATATATATATATATATATATATATATATATATATATATATATATATATATATATATATATATATATATATATATAAAATCAAATGAGCTAAGAAATTGTAGTAAAGAAATATTGTATTTGGTATATTTTAATATATTTAAATGCAAACATACAATCAAATATTTTATTGGCATGATCATATTGAGAAAGGCTATAACAATCTTATTTTTAATTGTGGTTAGTATTCTAGTAAGGGAGATTGAGGATGTTTGCAGCATTTTGTTTTTCCCTCCAGTCTTCAGCAATGCGTCACATGCTCAGTTGCACCCTCTCCTTCACCAGCAGGACAGAAGACACATTTAAAACCACCATCTAATTTTACTGAAAAACAAACAAACATGTTTTTCAGGTGTGAAAGTAATTTTTTTTCTTTGTGGTGTATTTTTGTCATACATCCTTTATCATCAATAATAATGATGAATAATAGAAATGAATAAAAATAGTAATGAATCATTGTTTGGTTAACTCTCAGTAATCTGGTTATCATGTGAGTGAATCTGATCTGTGTCTAGCTATAGCACATGGTGATCTGCCATGGCTGACAGCTTTGGGAAAATTGCAAAACTTGTTGCAATCTTCCCCAAGCTGGAAAGCTACTCAAAATACCAGATAGTGTGGCTGTCCTGGGCCCAAAAATATTGCACAACTGGATGCGATTTTTATACATGCCACAACTGTTTATCTGACTGATGCAGGAGGGAGCGGGATGTTAGATTAATAACATTCGGATGTCCATTTTAAAATAAGTTCCATTTACAATTTCAAAACTAGTTTTTGGGAGGAGCTGTGTTTGCTGTGTTAATTTGAAATTCTTAATAAAAGCAGTATTTCAAAAAGTTTTAAATAAAACAATAAAACAAAGGAAACATTGTAATAATATAATAATATGTAATAATATTCTCATTGAGACAAACGACAAAAACCTTATTTGTGAAAATAAACAAATCAGAACCTGTACCAACTGTCCCAGAGAAGGCATTGTTTGAGACAGTTGACTTTTTCTTTTTATGAATATTGTGAAAAATCTGTCTGTCATCATGTTTAAATGGTATGGATAGTTAGCAGACAGATTTGAGTTCAATTTATAGAAATTAAATAATTGATGTAGGCCCAGTCATCTTTGGAAAAGGTTGCAACCATCCCCCCTGTTGTAGGACATTTTCCAATTATTAAAAAATAAAAAAATAAAATACATGATCTAAACTAGTAATAATTTGAGGTAATTTAAAAGATGATGAGTTTCTATTTTTATATCATTCTATTTTTATGTCATATAAGTGGCTTTGTAAGTTTTTGTCAAGCCTTCTGTTTCCACTTTTCTTTTGCAGGACACGGTTTAGACGTGACAAGGCTTGATGTCAGATTTTCACAATAAAAGGCCAGTTAGAGTCGTGTTACCAAGTCCTATTTTGTTGCTTCATTGGAAGACATGCATTAGAGATGCATAGAAGATCAGAAGAAGTCCCTCCCCCTTCCTCTCAGCATTATGATCTTCTTACAAACGTATTTTCTTTGCTGTTTATACAATTTGCTTATTTCAATTAAAGTAATATACAAGGAAGCAATATAGGAAGAAAATTAAATGGACTCTCATGCCCAACTTATTTTGGGCAACCCTCCCTCCTGAAATGAAAAGATTTACATCACAAAAGATACAACATGGACAATACGATGGAGACCAATTACAGTAAAATAGGGCGTTTACAATTTTTCGTTATCATTGTTCATGTGAAATCAGTTTGAAAGCCATCACTCAGACTGAATACATTACCAAGCCTACCTCTGATCTGGCAAGAGAACAAACCAATTAGATGTTTGAGACAGCTGTGAGAGAACTCAGACAATGACACTCATACACACATTATGAAAGAGAGTGTGACTGTTTTGTATAAACCCTCACAGCAGTGATCAGTTATTTGGTAACTGATTTTTCTCATGTTTACCTTGATGGGATTCCTGTAGGGGCTTTTTTTCAAGGAGAATGTGTAAGAACAGGGTGGTCCAAATTGAGAACATCCTGCACAGTGAAATTACATGGTTAGAATATAACTTAATGTGTAACCTTGCAGATATTTGCTTAAATGCAAAGTGGTTTCTTGCACTTTCATTTTGAATAAACTCAATACAAAATACAGCAAAATTCATACTTTTTGGCACAATGTAAATGGGATTATAAGCTCATTTATTGCACTTATCTTTCTTATTCACAGATTTGGAAAGATATTTTATTATATTTCTTTCTTCATGCTTTCAGAAGGGTGAGAAGAAAAGAAAACCAGTTCATCTAAAACAGAAACTCTTTTTCTATTTCTGGGAGGGAGTTTTTAAAACAAGTTAGGTCTTTTTTTTTATCCATAAAATTGCAACACAAGAAGGGAAACAAGCAAAAGGATTGGCACAAAGTTGTTATATATTTGCCTCATTGATAGTCTTCATACTACCTTCAAGTTTGACTTTTTCTAAAATGCTCTAAACAGCAAAAAATATAATTAAATATTGAACCTTATTGCAATGTTCACAACCAATAGCAATGTGATTGTACTTAAAGAAAAGTAAAGAAAACAAAAATACACCCAGAAGAAACAAACTCCAGATCTTATACAAAATATTTATGGGGAATTTAAACCGATTTATATTAATTTATGAAGATCAAGAGTTTCAGGATTGTTTATAAGATAAGGTTTTCCATAATTTCCCAAGCCTCAATATTGGATCATTCAATTAAAACTCCCACTGTAGAATTTAGTCCCAAAATATAGCTTGGAGTGGAGCCATTGTTCCTCTTTGTCCAAAGGAATCAGTGGAGGTGCGATGGGGCATTTGAATGACATATTTTCCTGGCATTTCTACTTGAAACACACCAAAGTATAGGTTCAATATCTACCAGAAGAACAACACATCCTCTACAACCTAGAATGTTTTGGTTTACTTAATG